GGACGACACCGGGACCCTTCCCCAACACAGCGGGGGACATGGCACAGAGCCTCGGCCTCAATGTGGACGCAGGTAAAGAGCTGCCTTCGGCCCCTCCGGGTCCCCCCGGCTCAGCTGCACCTCTGCTCCCTGCCTCCCTCACACCGCCTATAGTAGTGGGGATGGACCCCCCATGGTGGGGTGGATGGGGTGCTGCTGTGGGGGAATAAATTGGGGGTGGAAGCCCCATGGGAGGCACCCGAGGTCTGCCCTGGGTGCCCTTCTTGGGGCTCTTAGGCCAGGCAAGCAAGGAAGGGGAGGGCGAGGATGGGACAGGGCAACACATACCCCCCCATGACACCCTTTGAATTTCTGGCACCCTCAAATGTGCTCTGAGGGTGCTGGTTGCTTTGAAGTACTCTTGTCCTGGCTCTGGCCCTGCTCTTGCCTTGAGCAGCAAGAGCTGGGAGCAGGATGGAGCCGCCCCAAAAGTCACCGCTTGGCTCCCTCCACGGGCTGCCCTGAGGGCAGGAGTGCGGGCAGCCACAGCAGAGCAGGCCCATTTCTAGACCCCGTGCAGGTTCATAAACTACCTCCTCTCCTTATTTATTTTTTTCTCCCAGCTTTTGAGAGGAAAGCACAATTGCATTTGCTGAGCAAAAAGGGCAATGGTTTTCCCCAGGTACTGGTATCCTGCGTCTGGTGAGGTGCCTGGAAGTAAGGCTGTGTGGCCATAGCGGTGACAAAAAGGTGACACAGACATAGCCAGCAGTGGCAGTTCCCCAGTCAGTGGTTGTGGAGGCAAGGAAAGCCCGCTCTGGTGGCAGTGCTCCATGCTGAAGTTGGGTTATTGCAGCCACAAATGGCTCCTTACGGTGGCCTCACTTCAGGCAGGAGGGATGTGTGCCTGCCTGCGGTCTAGCTTGGGCTCTTCTCCCTGCTCCATGGCCTCGTGGGGCTCTGGGGAGCCCGTGCTTTAGACTGATTCTCTGATCTCAGCTGGCAGAAATGCAGTTTGTCATTCTCTATCCTTAAACAGCTGTACCTATTTTTCTTCTTCCCTTTTTTTTCTTCTCTCCGTTCTCAGGTTTGCAGCCTCAGGATAAAAGCAAGGATCTATACTGGTTTTAGAGCTGTCCTTCACTCTTCTTCCCCTGGCTCTCCCCTGTAGATCTCTGCCTGTTAGACATGGTGGCATTCAGAGCTGAAATCGGGTCAGTTTGTAACAGCTTCTGATCTTGGTTTGCAGCTCGCCGTTACTCCTTCTGTGGTGGATCCCTTCTGAGCTGATGTGCTGACTCAAAGACTCCCAGATCCCCCCTTGCCCTTTTCCAAGCCCACCGTGGCCCTGCAGCTCGGGGAAAGACAACGGGACTTAAAAGGACCTGGCATTGCAAGGACGGTACTTTAGACTTATTTCAGAGAGGAAAATCCTTCTGTTGCAAGAGGAGAGCCAAAGACGTTGAACTTCTATTTAAGCAGACCCCACACCCAGAACTGCAGTCGGACTACTCTAAAAGAGTCAAATGACGTCATGGATGGTGATGCAAAACCACTGGCCTTCGTACAGGGGGCAGAGGAAATCATGGGGGTTTTTTTTAGTGGTGTGAATATTTTTTTTATGGCAGTGAAAATTATTTCTTGAATGCAAACATGGGAAAGCTACTTAGCAGTTTTGAACTGGATTTTTACTTTACATTACAGAAAAGTAAAAGGAGAAGAAACTGGAGCTCACGAACATTTTTGGACTATCAAGGAACTGGTGTGATTTTTCAGCTTTGTGGTTGTGAGTGGCAAGTGTTTGGCCGGGGCCAGCTGCCCTGGGCTTACAGAGATGCAGCTGTTCCACGCACAACTGCTCAAACCCCAGAAAGACGAAAACCAAGGTGGCACTTCTCAGAGTTTGGCACAACATTTGCATTGGATATATAACGGTTGTTTGGTTGTGGTTTTTTGGCTTTTTTTTTACAAGAAACATTTTCTGGTGAAAGTAAAACCCTCTTAAAGCAGGGGGAGGAAGGAAACCCGTGAAGAGCGGCTTGCCCTCAACCCAACAGCCTTTAAGGAGAACACCAGAAGGAAAGGCACGTGATGGACAATAGGTCTGAGTTGCCTCTAACATTTCTCTTTGTCTACTTGTTGCTGTCATTTTGTCACTTTAATAGTTGTTTTGTTTTGTTTTTTTGAAAGGGGGAAAAAGATATCTATTTAACAGTAGGAAAGCTGCATTAAAGGTATCTCCTTCTTTCACCCTGTGTGCTTTTATGAAGAATTAAAGCTAAATAAGAGAAATGAGGCAAACTGGAAACTTCAGGATGAAATAGGAAAAATACCTGTCGTGTGGATGAAGTGAGTTATTTTATTACTTTGTATTAAAGATAAATATAAATCCTAGCAGCTGAAAATATTTTCTTAGTGAGTAAAAAATATGGTGATAAATACAAAAGACGAGAAAATGCAAGATTGTTGCAGTGCTACATTTTAGTGTACGGCGTATCTGTAAGATGGGTTAAAGTAAGGGGGCTCCTCCGTAATAACAGATGTTTCTTCGTGAAGCTGATAGGAGAGGGGACTGTAGCATTTAGCATTGCTATTGCACTGGTAAACTAAAATGCTATTATAGGGTGATGAATAATTAATGAAACAGTGCAGAAATGGCAATTTCCCCCTGTGCTTAAAAGCTGACTTTTTTACAGGCAAAACGTCTGATCCCAACACTACCGTGCTTTGGGTTTTTTCTGTTTTTTTCTCGATGTAATGTCTTCGAAGGCTGACAAAGTTCAATGCATGTAAGAGAAAAGTCCTAACATTACCCCTCTGACACTAGGAGAAGCCATAGAAAATGGACTTTTGAGCTGTGATGAGAGTTTTTACCTTCCGCCACTCTCACATAATCTGGCATAATGTTTGCCACGTGTCAGAAATGGAGTTATGAATAACCCAAACTTGCTTCTCCTAGGTTTCGGCTCAGCAATACCTCCATTTCTGGGAAAGAATAGGAATCCTAATAGTAAGATTAGTAGATTAAAATAAAGCAGTGTGAGTATATACTGTGAGAAGCTGGCAAGGAGCAATGTGTGCAGAGCATCCCCGGCCAGAGCTCGATAAATGGCAGGAGGTGACTTGCCGTGATTCCTTCAGCCAGACGTACCCCTGAACATTTCGCCCTCAGCCTCCAACTAGCCAGAGCCCAGACAAGCTGTAAAGGGCAAGGGAAGGGACTCCAGAATTTATATGACCGGTTAAACCAAAAATGTTCTGAGGCGTCTATCAAGAAGGAAGGCAGCAGCACTTTGCAGGAGAAAAGTAACTAAAAATGGCATGTAGCGTTATTGCTGCAGAGGCTTGGAGATAACAGGATCATTCTGTGAGCATTTGCCTGCGGGTTTTTTTAGGCTGTTTTTAAAGTTTTTTTACAAAAAGTGATCTGGCTCTATCATTGGTTGTGCTTCACCACAATCGTTCCTTTTTTCTTTCTTTTTTCCCCCTCTCTTCTGCAATTCATAATGAGGAGGGCTGGGCAATGCAGCCCAAATACGTTTGGAAATATTCATCTAAGCACAAACCAGCCATTTACTTCATTGGCATTTACAATTCATTTTGACTGTGAACGTTTTCAAGCGTGAGAATTTATGCAATGGATACATGAATATTGGTTTCGACATTTGTTCTCTGGGTACTCTTTTTTATTGTTGTATTGTGAAAGCATCCAACCACCAAAGTCAAGATTGTGGCTCAAGGTGTTAGCTGTGCAAACAACTTTTTTAAAATGCTCCTACTCCAGATGGACTGCAGTCTGAAAGCGCATGCCCTGTTTTGGCTAATCCTTGCAGTTTTTCTCACTTTCTGTTATTCTGACTCCAGGGCACTGCTCACAGCACTTACCTTTAAGGCTTGGGCGTGAGTCTTTGCAGGACTGGAACCACAGCTCCTGATGCAGTAAGAGCGCAAATAACCTCGGTGCCATTTCGCAAGTCTGTTTTATTCCTCTTTGCATCATAGGTTATTAGTTGCTTAATCATGAATGCTTGCAGGAAATCTGGAAATACAAAAATCCCCCCTTCTTATATGTTACATATGTCTTATCTGTCACGTGCTTGTCACACACCGAAAGAGCAGGGCTGTGAGTCCCCAGTCCTGCAGCCTGAAGAGCAGAACCTCCTGCTGCCCCATTCCTAGTGTCGTGCAGGGGTTAGCACTGGCTTGTGCTCTCTACCTACCCACCTGACAAACAGACTAGCCCGGCTGGGACAGACGAACAAACACAGCTCCCAACCCCTTCCTGCAGAGTCCAGGGAAGGAGGCAGAGGGACGGGATCTGCTGCAGAGCATGGCAGTACTGGGCATAGCAAGAGTATCTGCTGCTGCTGAGCAAGAGCAGTTTGTAGGAGTTTGCAAAGTGAGCTCTGGGCATATTCACTGCAGACATTTATTTCCCGTTCTGAAAATAACTGAAAATTAGCAAAGCACGAACGAATACCATTTTAATGAACTCTGAGGTTAACAGTGATCTGTCAAGGGAAGGATGGAAGTGGGGATGGGACATAGTATTTGTGATCACAGTCTCCACTTTATTTTAATGAGGGTTTCGCTTCCGTACAGCTGCAGTTGCAAGAATGCAGCACAGACCTCTTAGACACACATATATATGTGCCCCTGCACTTACAGTCTAACGTTAGACAGCTTTAGGGTGACGTTGCTTACTTCCCACCTCCTTTTCCAGTGGGTTTTCCATAGAAGCCCCCAGCAGAGGAGGAGGAGGGGAGGAGAGAGAGAGTGAAAGAGAGTCTGAGTTACCCCCTGCGCCTCCCCTGGACTGTGTGCTGCCTGTCTCTGGGGAAATGTATCTGCCCTGTCCCCTCCTTGGGTCAGGAGGGACTGCCGTCCCTTCTCACCTTCCCTTTGAAGTCCTATTTAGGTTCATGACAAGTTCTAGCGAGGGCTTAAAGGTTGGTCCCTTCCTAGAAGGGAGGAAAAAGCTGCTGGTGGCTTTGGATGCACCAGGGTTCTCTGACTGGCAGTTCTCATGCATCTTTTTCTGGGCAAGGGTTGTAATTAATGTGCCCTTTTGATTACAGAGGGGTGAGCCAGCTCCTCTGGGGGATTGTGGTGTCCTGGCTGGCTTCCCTGGCCTGCCACCCAGAGGAGCAGTTGCAGCAGGGGAAGGAGAGAGACTTGCATTGTGATTATTTGGAGGAGTGAGGTATTGATTTTGTAGGCTAGGCAATTTTGCATAGGGAAATGGGAACAGGGGATTGTTAAAAGAAAAATAGAAAAGGAAAAAAAGAAAAAAGAAAAAGGAAAAGGAAAAGAAAAAGAAAAAGAAAAAGAAAAAAGAAAAAGAAAAAAGAAAAAAGAAAAAAGAAAAAGAAAAAAGAAAAAAGAAAAAAGAAAAAAGAAAAAGAAAAAAGAAAAAGAAAAAAGAAAAAGGAAAAGGAAAAGAAAAAGGAAAAGAAAAAAAGGAAAAGGAAAAGGAAAAAGAAAAAAGAAAAAAGAAAAAGGAAAAGAAAAAGGAAAAGGAAAAGGAAAAGGAAAAAGAAAAAAGAAAAAGAGAAAAAAAAGAAAAAAAGAAAAAGAAACAGAAAAAGAAAAAGAAAAAAGAAAAAAGAAAAAAGAAAACGAGAAAAAAAAAAAAAAAGAAAAAGAAACAGAAAAAGAAAAAGAAAAAAGAAAAAAGAAAAAAGAAAAAAGAAAACGAGAAAAAAAAAAAAAAAGAAAAAGAAACAGAAAAAGAAAAAGAAAAAAGAAAAAGGAAAAGGAAAAGGAAAAGGAAAAAGAAAAAAGAAAAGAAAAAGAAAAAGAAAAAGAAAAAGAAAAAAGGAAAAGGAAAAGGAAAAGGAAAAGGAAAAGGAAAAGGAAAAGGAAAAAGAAAAAAGAAAAGAAAAAGAAGAAGAGAAAAAAAAGAAAAAAAGAAAAAGAAACAGAAAAAGAAAAAGAAAAAGGAAAAGCTCTACTTCAGTCAGCCCCCAAGCTTTTGGGCCTGCAGCCTTGGGAACCGTATTGTTAATTTGGTTCCCAGCATGGTAACTGTTCTCTAAACCGGCTGTACTGACCAGCAGCTCAGGCTAGCAGGGTCCCCCTGTTCATGTCCCTCTCTAATCACACAGGAGGAGTTACCTTTGCAGTGCGCACCTTCTACTGCCTCGTTAGCCAGGCATAATCTGTGAATAATGTGCACCAAACCTGCGAGCGCAAATTGTAATGGAGAGGCACCGGGGTGCCATGTCGCCCTCCTCCTGCCCTCCCTGCATCAGGTCTTGCCGGAGGAGGGGAAGGCGCTGGAGGAGCCTGTGCAGGGTGCAGGGGTGCACGCCCCTGGGCCCCATTCTCATGCACAGGCACCTCCCTTTGCCGTGCTCGGCTGCAGCCCACAAAACCACAGGCTGACCGAGGACTGGAGCGTTTCTTTAGGGATGTGTCACTTATTTACATTCATGGTAAAGGCAGGATAAATACCAAACAGGAGAGCTGTCCCATTAGGAGATGCACACTGGACTTTACTGAGGGTGCCCCATCTCCCCACTGCATGGCACATTTCCTCCTGCCCCACCTGGCCAAGGTACGGCTGCAAGGCGCCCTCCTCGTTCATCAAACCCCCTGACTTCTTCACTTCTCCTCTCCTCAACTTCTGGCCCCGGCCCTGACTCTGCATCTCATCCCTTCTCTGTTCTCCTGCCTCACCCAGTCTCTTCCCTCCTGCACTTACTACTCTGGCCCCATGCTGCAGCAATGAGGAGCAAAGGAACAGGGTTAGGAGGGACACAAACGTTCTTATTATCAATGCTGTTTGCATGGAGTTGAAGCATCAGTATTTCTGTGATAAACAGAATTGGACAAACATAGACCCTCTCCGGAAGAGCCAGCCCATTGGCTTCAATCCTGCACCATACCCCTGTGGTAGGAACCGAGCCCTAATCCCCAATCCAGTGGAACAACCTCTTTTTTCCACCAGCCGAGTCCTAAAGAGCTGCGACAGCCCCAGTTGCACACAGGCACAAATGATTATTCTCTCTTGACAGACCTGCACAGCTCTCTCCTTGTATTTAACTGCGGTCCCAGTGAGCTGGATCAGGAAAGAGACACTTGATAGCTGCTGTTTCCGTGGTTGAAATATTTGTGAAGTTAGCGCATAATCTGAAAGCAGAAGCTAATAAATTATAGGGTGCTAATTGGGGCCGGAGTGGAGCCGTCAATCATATTATCCTAAACACACAGAGACCCTCATAACCTAAAAAGGCAAGAGAGCCTCCAGGAACAGCTCCCAGTTGTCACTAGCCATGACCTCCACTTCAGTGAGAGCACAGAGAGTCAAGGCAGAGAATTTATTCTGCTAAGAAAATGCAAATCCTGTGTTTAAGAGGGCACTTGTATTTGGTTTTGTTTGCCCTCTTGGGGAGTGCGTTTCCCAGGGCACTTTATTGTTTTGCTTTGCAACTTAACCTGCCAGTCTTGCAATTTTTAAAAAAAAAGTGTAAGTCAGATAAGAATTTGCAATTTATATATTTGCATAGTCCTTAGAGTAACAGTCATAAGTTTTTAGTCACAGTCCAACCTCTTTGCATATAGGCCTGTCTTCTAAAAGCCATCTCATTGCTCACATTTCTTTTTTTGCTCCTCATACCCCAGAAACATGTATAATACTTTGAAGTTGCAGGAGTCTATGATCTGAGCCAAAACACAACTCTGCAAACACTTTAGCAATAGGGCACTTGCAGCTCTAGTCACTTTGTCACCACCTTTTCTTATATTGCTTCCATCAAGATCAAGTATTTTACTCATCATATAATATAAAATTGAATCAAAGAGTGCTGAAGAGGTTTTTAGTAACACTTTCCCCCAGAAATTCATTTCTATATGGAGACAGGTAGGCATTTCAGAAAGCATTCCCTGGAGAAAAGATCTGAAAAAAAGTAAGAGCAACCTAAAAGTGAGCAGTGGGAAAGCTTGATTTTGGTGGCAGTATGACTACTGCATGCAGGCCTGACGACTGAGCTACGGTACGGTCAAACCCTTTTCCTGATGACACCTCACCCGGCCCTTAGTAGCCGCCTAGACTGCTGCAAGACCACATGATTAAGTGTACAAAGGCTTTTAAAGGTATTTCTAAATGTGTCATTTTTCCCTCATTTTTGATGCTTGTATTAATTTTTTAATGCCAACCTTGAATGCTGGCAAGAAGCAGGACCAATAGTCCCTTCTCAGCTTGCTTCTGTGAAGAGAAATGACAGCGTCTAAACCTGGTGATGCTGCCACTAAAGCCAAGAGCCATCCCTGCGTGGAGTGGGCAACAGGATGTGTTTGACAACTGACTGTGGTTTATCATGGCCACTAATTTTGTTTTAGTAGATTCAGGTAGAGGATAATTCTTTGCGCTTTAAGCAGCAGACTCAAAAATTATGAAGTGATACCTCTGTTAAGGTAACAAAGACTATGTCAGCAGACAAACCGAGGAAAGCACAAAGCTGGCAAGGTCCTACTTGAACACAAGGCTGCACTGTGTCAGTAGGTTTCTATACTTGGGGATGTGGTGATGTCAGACTGAAGAAATATGAAGACGTGAGAGAAGATATTCTCACAAAAGGTTAATTCTGTGACTCCCAGAGTTCTGCCTCTCCTGTTTCTCTGTAAGAGGAAGCTAAATATATTTGTGACTGGAAAT